AATATTCTTCTGCAATACCATAACTCAAATGTATCAGTTCTTTCACGGTCTTCCTAATTCACTGTCCATATATACAGGAGGAGCACAGTGCCTTCAGACAATAAGCACTGGGCTGTGAACTACAAGGTCTGAGGTTTGAGCCCACCAGCCACTTATTGGGAGAAAGATGAGGATTTGTGCCCCCATAAAGATTTAAAGCCTCGGAAATCCTGTATAGGGTTTCTGAAGAGCAGTTGGTGGGTTTCAATTGCTGATCCTACAGCACCATACCAGGAGTCCACAGCATAATTACACACACACATATATGAGGGGAGAGTCAGCACTGGACTTCAAACCACAAAGTTGGCCGTTTGAGTCCACCAGCAGTAACTCTGCGGGAGAAAAATGAGGTTTCTTGCTTCCACAAAGATTTACAGCCTCGGAAACCCTGTAAGATTTGCTATGAGTTGGAACCAACTCAACAGCACTTAACATATATGAAGGAGCTTCAAAGAGTTTGTAGAAAAATGGAATTAAAAGATAATAGAAAATTTTCCATGAACTTTTTGAAGCTCCTCATATATATACAAGTGTATGTGTGTTGTTGTTGTTAAGTGTCGTTGAGATTGTTCCAACCCATAACGACCCTATACAGGGTTTCCAATGTTTTAAGTTCCCTCAAGTTGGTTAGGTTTCAACCGCTGATCTTATGGTTACAATTCAGTGCTTATCCCACAGCACCACACCAGGACATATAATTTGCTTTGCTTTATCACACTAAGTATACACACACACATATGTACTACAAACTATATATACTTATGTTGCTGTTGTTAAGTGCCATTGAGTCGATTCCGACCCATGGTGACCCTGTATAGGGTTTCCAAGGAGCAGTTGGTGAGCTTGGACCACTGAATTTGAAGTTCAAACAACGTTGCAGTCTGGCGCATTAGCCCACAGCGCCACACCAGGACTCCATATATACTTATACACACACACAGAATTCTTAACATTCTCTCAAAATACTGCTTTTATAATATCTTACAGAAAATGAAAATAAAAAGCAGAAATAGCGAAATATTATGACAAACATCAGCAAGGGCATATTTGCAAACAAAGGCACATTAGCAAGAGTTAGCATTATACAAGATCCTTCAATATGCTGTCTGCAGGAGACAGATTAAAAAGATGGAGACAGACTAAATGCCCATCAGCAGAAGAATGGATAAGCAAACTTTGGTACATATACACACAACAGAATACTACAAAGTGTTGAAAAATAATGATTAATCTGTGAAACATTTCACAGCATGGTTGAGCCCGGAAGACATTATGCTGAGTGAAATTAGTCAATCACAAAGGGACAAATATTGAAATATTGTATGAGAACAAAGTTTTTTAAAAGTTTAAAAAAAAGTTTTCTTGATAAAAGTAACAATCTATGATGGTTGTTGTTGTTGTTGTTGTTAAGTGCCATCGCGTCGGTTCCGACCCATAGTGACCCTGAACAGGGTTTCCGAGGCTGTAAATCTTTACAGGAGCAGACAACCTCATCTTTTTCCTGCATGATGGTTGAGGGGGAATTATTTACGGACTAGGGAGCAGACACACGTCAACATGGATGACAAGGCAGGCAATATACAGCAAGAGGGAGGTTAGCAGAGGAAAGATGAAGGTAGTAGAAGACACAGGGAGGGATACAATAGGTAAATGGAAGAGAGGTAAATACTATTAACTGTTGGTACATGGAGGCGATTGCAACCATGTAATGAAGCAAAGTAGATGATTTGTTGAATGTGAATCTGATGGTCGGCTCTGTAAACCTTCACTCAATTCAAAAAAAAAAGTTAAAAAAAAAAAAAAAAGAGTATTATATTCAGTCATGGATGAGGTTGCGGGGCAGTGTTTTCAGACGCCTCCTTTTCCCTGCAGGGATTACACAAAGCTATTTGCCAAGCACACTTGCAAGTCCAAGCAATACCCATTCATCTCATATAATCACCATCTTCTTCAGCATGCTAAGTACCAACTCCAGGAAGAGCAAGCCCCTCCCTGGTGCCCCTAACAGCAGCCCTTCCAGGGGCTGACAAGTGAGTCCCTGCTTCACAGAGGACCCCGTCAGGTAATGTCAACTCAGCACTTCTGGGTCCCTGATTAATGACTCACTTTGTCTCCCACCCACCTTCACTACTTACGTCAACAAGTGTCCCGATGGCTTAAGGACTGAGCTGCACACTGCGTTATTGTAGCACATACATGTATTATGCAAATCTTTACAGTATTTAAGGTCCATTTGGCTGCTAACCTAAGGGTTGTTAGTTTGAACCCACCCTGAGACACTGGTAAAAGAAAGCCTGTAATCTGCTGCTACAAAGATGACAGCCAGGAAACCCTAAGGACCGGTTCTACTCTGTAATGCAGAAGTCACCGAGAGTCAGAGTCAAATCAGTGATGACAAGGTTTTTGTTTTGTTTTGCCGTATTTCACACACTTAGTACAAGACTCGGAAACAAATGCTGGGCTTTCAGATGAGGGCATCACAGTCCCCAGGAAAGTGGCTTGTCTCAGACTTAAGACCCGGAAAAGGCAGAACTAGACTCGCATTGTCACCTCACTCCTTCTCCAGTGACCTCTACAGAGGTCAAACCTACACAACAACCGGGGTAGACAAAAAACCTCTCCCCCTGCTACCCTCCTGTCAACTGAGGAAAGAGGACTAGATATGACAGTGCAGAATTTGAAGTATTTCTGCAAAACTATTACCATTATAAAAGCTCTGATTTTGTCTGTATTTTCTTGCCTATATTAAAAACCAAGTGTGATTATTAAGTTTAGTATAAAATCTCCCTTGTAAGCCCCAGGGGTCCGCTTGTTGTTGTTGTTAAGTGCCATCTAGTCAGTTCCGACCCACAGCGACCCTGAACAGGGTTTCCGAGGCTGTAAATCTTTACAGGAGCAGAACGCCTCATCTTTCTTCCATGGAGCAGCTGGTAGTTTCGAACTGCTGACCTTGAGGTTTGCAGCCTGATTCGTAACCACGACGCTACCAGAGGGTCTGCTAGCATCCTTCAAATGACTAAGTGTGGGTCTTGGGGTCACATTTGGCAATAAAATACTGGTCTACACGAACCAATGATGTGATCCAGTAAATAATACTTAGGTTCATAACTTCCTAGAAGCAAATATATATAGGGTGGCGGTGTCCCATGGAGTTGCTTCTGATTCATAGTGACTCTGCATTAGGTTTCCAGGGCTCCAGGGCCTGTAAATCCTTCCAGGAGCAGATAGCTTCATCTTCCTCCCATGGAATGACTGGTAGTTTCAAACTACTGACCTTGAGAGGTTAGCAGCCCGACTTGTGCGTGTGTGTATATATATATATATATATATATATATATATATAAAACATTTATATATATAAAAACATACTTCCGAGGTACAATGTGGGACTTGGTGGGCAGCAGGGAGTAGAAAGACAAAGAAACATGAGAATTGGGAAAATATTTTACTAATTTGTGTCATGTCCACCCTGTGTGTATCAGCAACTCCTCATGCCAATCCCAGTGCCCTTCCGCTTCAGGAAGCTACAGCCACGAGGAGTCAAGCAAGCATATGGCTGGGTCCTTCTGGACATTTCAATAACGTTGGCTCATTGCTTTGGAAAAATCCCATTTTATCTCCTGAAGCTGTCTGACCTCAAGTTGTCATTTCATAGAAGTATTCATCCACTGATTCTGATGAACACAGACAAAGGCTGGTACAACCTTTAGAAAACAACAACTTTCAAATCTACTGTAGTTGCTATGATGGGTTATTTGTTTCTAAGGCAACAGCATATATCTAAGTACTAATGGCCTGTCCTTTTGCCAGGCAACAAACAGCCCTGTGATGCAACTGCACCTGTCTCGGCTACGTGTTACCATGGAGACGCTCCTGTTACTATGGCTACCATCACGCTCATAGCCTAGCAAAGGCAGACCGCAAAGAGCCCAGCTGTTCCATCCACATCTCTCACTGAAGACTGATTGTGCAGGCCTGTGAAGGAATGCATCTCAACTGAGAAGCACAAGAACTTCCTTAATTCTATTTCAGAAGATCACTTTGTGGCCCTACTGCAGAACACACACCTGACAAGGCAAACAGCCTGCAAAGAAGTAGACTGTGAAAATTTGGAAATCATTTTGCGAATGTATGCCATTTCTAAGTGACATAAAGTTGCCTTCCAAGGATAATTTATCTTAACTGGGGGAATATATAGAAATATTTCTACATTTGGGGGATTTTTCTGATATGATTGGGGAAGAGAGTGAAGGGGGGTGAGTGTTTCAAATCTAAGCACCATATATAGATACAAATCAATGGAAACATGGGGGGGGGGGCCCATGACTATTTTGCATCCACCATTAGTACACTTTTAAAAAAACAGTAACAAACTACTTGCCGCCCCCCCCCAAGTAGATCTTTGTAAAACTGGCCCCCATGACCTCATTGTCTCAAAAACAAACAGGCAGGGGCTGAGGAATAGAAGTCTCCATTGTTCTCTGCTATTCTCCTTGAAGAGACAAACACAGAGTAACCACAACAAAATGATCGCTGAGGAACCCGGTCCACATGGAGACCAGGAACGACAACAATTCAGCCTGTCCTTCAGAGCACACATGTTGAGACCCTGGTCAGATGATAGGAAAAAAGGACTGCTGGCTTCACTTGTTCATAGACTTCTAACCCCACAAGAGACGTTCACACTGCCAACTTCTCTTTGTAAAAGTTTCTACCCAGGACGATGTTCTTTTCCCACTGCGAAGCCTTTTGGAACGCCAACCCTTCAAAGCAGCTGAGACGGTAAGGTGTATGGGACTAGAACAATAGGGATACCTACTAATAATACTTTATTCCTTTCTCATTTACCTCTGGTTATTTTTAAGATCTCATACAAACTGTTAAAATTCATTTCAGCGCCCATCTCTGCCAGAATGGTGTAGCTAAAGTAGACACACACACACACAGTGGGAATTGCTTACCTTTGATATGCCTGAGGAGAGCTGGGAGGTGTATTGGACACATGTGAGTTTGGGTGGTAAGGTGTCTTTTTCAAAGCCTGAATTAGATTTTGTCTATATTCTGGGTCTATGCACCACAATGACCCTTTCCCAATACTCTGCAAAGAAAGGAAAAACACAAAAATCAGTAGGTTGCAGTCCTAGTTTTTGAGCTTGTTAATTACTTTTGAAAGCTTCACACATTTATTTGTTGACCGTTCACCAACCTTACATATTGTGCCCTGACAATGTTGCTGTTGTTATCAAGTGCCATCGAGTCCGTTCCAATGCACAGCAACCCTGTATAGGGTTTTCAAGGAGTGGCTGGTGAGTTTTGAACCGCCAATCTTGCAGTTTAAACCGACTTTGCAGTCCAGTGCGTTATCCTACAGCACCACACCAGGACTCCAATAAAATTCTACCACAAAATGCATTTCAACGTTTCTGACAGACACAATGAACACAGGTTATGACCAGGTAATACCGATACTATAATAGCAAATGTTCCATCTTGCTGTTGTATGTGATCTGTGAGTCTAACTACGGAACAGAATACACCTGCCCCTAGCGGTCCTCCTACGCTGTAACCTTTTTGGGAGCAGATTGCCAAGTCTTTCTCCTGGGTGGGTTCAAACCGCCGACCTTGGGGTTAGCAGTTGAGCACTTCAGCATTGCGCCACTAGAACTCCATAAGTACCCACACTGAAATCAGAAGCTTATTTTTCTGTGTAGACTTTGAAGAACAAACGCATTCTTCTGTAGAAATGAGCTTGAAATTGGTCAGACTGCAAATGCTGGCACACAAAACGGGAGCTAATTCACCTTCCCCATTTACCTACTTTGCAAGAGACAGAATTAGTTAGGGTTTTAAACCAATATCACCCTTTGGTACCGTGTCACAAAAAGGGGGAAACAATCCCCATTTTGTTTGTTTTGTTTCCAACCTGCCCATATAAGAACAACATTTAAGCTTGGAATGGAATTCTGTAATCACCTAGCCCAAGAAATAAAAGAATCCCTGCAACAATGATCAACCTCACTCAGACACCAATATTTATTTTCTAGATTTCTCAGTTTACAGCAATCTATCTGCTCCAGCCTCAGAGGTCAACTTAACAAATGCAAAGTTTTATGAAACAGTCCCACTGAGAGAGACGAGCTCTGAAACTTGATTTTGGTTGGAGACTTTTTGGTCTGTGGACAGTTTTTTGTCTTTTTTTTTTTTTTATTAAAAAATAGAACATAACTGAAATCCTTCCACAGAGACTCACAGATCTGGCCACCAGCCAGCGGGCATTCACTGCTCCGACCTCATGCTTTTAAGTGGTCAAATGTACCCCAACTATTTGATAAGGTCACTTGTAAATATTTACTGATCTGGAGAGAAAAGAAGTTAAATTACACAAACCCACACCCACCCCTGCTCTCAGCCTACTGACTCCAGAATTATTGTACTAGAGAATGATTGACGTTCTCCAACATTCAGAAAGCAAACAACAAAACTGTATAACTATTGGGGGAGAAAGTCCAAGAAAAATACTTCACTCTAAAAATCTTTAAAGAAGCTTTAAAATTTTGCATTTCAGTTATCAGTTCACCAAATGGTTGCTGGGTTATTCACAGCCTATTGCACAACCAACAAACAAATAAACAAAAAAACCCAGTTGTTGTCAAGTTAACTGCACTCATGGTGACCACATGTGTGTTGGAGCAGAACCATGCTCCATTTTCAATGGCTGATTTTTTTGGAAGGAGGTCACCAGGCTTTGCTTTCAAGGCATCACTAGGTAAACTTATACCTCCAACCTATCTGTTAGCAGATGAACACTTTAAGGGTTTGTACAATCCTCCTTTATTCACAGAGCCCACTAAAACAGCCTGTTGTTGTTGGGTTCTGTCAAGCCATTTCCGACTCATAGCAACCCTATGAGACACAGCAGAACTGCCCCCATAGGATTCAGACATATTGTCAGGAGGGACCAGTCACTGCAGAAGGATATCATGTTTGGTAAGGTAGAGGGTCAGAGAAAAAGAGGAAGACCCCCAACGAGATGGATTGGTTAAGTGGCAGTATCAATGGACTCAACATGGCAATAGTAGTGAGGTTGGCCCAGGATCGGGCAGTGTTTCATTCTGCTGTGCATAAGGTCGCTATGAGTCGGTACCGACTCGATGGTACCTAACAACAACAACAGTCTTTATGGGGGACTCCTGGTGTGGTGCTGTGGGCTAATGCATCAGACTGCAAAGTCATTTGAACGGCAAGGTGAGTGGGTTCAAGCTTATCAGCTGCTCCTTGGAAACCCTATACAGGGTCACCATGGGTCGGAATTGACTCGATGGCACTTAACAAAACAATCTTCATGGGACCAGATTGCCAGATCTTTCTACCAGAGTCACTGGTGGTGGTGGTTATGTGCCATGGAGTAGGTTCCGGTTCATAGCGACCCTGTAACAGGGTTTCCGAGGCTGTAAATCTACAGTAGCAGAAAGCTTCATCTTTCTCTCGAGGAACCCCAGGTAGTTTCGAACTGCTGACTTTGAGGTTCACAGCCTGATTCGTAACTACTATGCTACCATAGCTCCTTGTTGTTGTTGTTGTTATGTGCCGTGGAGTTGTTCCGACTCATAGCGACCCTGTACAGGATTTCCAAGGCTGTAAAGCTTTATGGGAGCAGAAAGCCTCATCTTTCTCCCTTGGAACAGCTGGTATTTTCAAACTGCTGACCTTGTGGTTTGCAGCCCGATTCGTAACCACTATGGTACCAGAGCTCCTTGGATGGGTTCAAACCACCAACCTTCCGTTTAGCAGCCAGGGACTTAAATATTGCACCACCAGCTGTCCTAACAGCAACATGAGTAGGCAATGCAACTGGAAATAACTTTCTGGAGCTCCGAGAGTGGGGTTGTTACTCAAAGCACGGTCAATGCCGAGACCCCACACCCAGGTCCAGGTCAGGTGACATTTCTATACAAAGCATAGACATCCAAGTTCCCAGCTTAAGAACCCAGATGTTTAAAGAAAACAAAAGATTTCAAGTTGGGAACTCCAACCGATGTATGTGGTCATTCTTTCATGCGTACATTCTCAAGCCCAGAAAGATGAAACTTCCATGTTACAGAGGCAGGCCACCAAATAACCCACCCCAGGTCTCTGTCTTTTCTTCTTGAAAAATGGCTGTGCAGCACATGTTTTAGAAGAAAGCCAAAATCTAAAAGGAAGTGGAGAGGCACAGGTGTGTGTGGGGAGGGGTTGGGGGGGAGAGGGGGGACGGTGAAAGACCAGTAATGGCCACATTTTACATAAAAGAAACCACACTAAAGCAGCATGCCCTTCAATAGTAGGGATCCTGGTCTGGCTCTACCAAAGGTTCCCGCGGGGGAGGGGAGGGGAGGGGGGCTGGTGCGTGGAAACTACACCCAGTAGGCCTCCCCTGCCCCCACCTGCTGATTCCTTTGGCTCCAAACCAGCCACAGAGTTAGTTTAAGCTCCATGGGCTGATTGTGGTCTGATGTGCAGTCCGCCCGCTTCTGCAAAGAGATTAGTTGAGTCCTGGGAACCTAACGACTTGTGTTTGCACAGGATAGCTTTCAGGGTGGGGCCGTTTCATCTTACATAGAAAAATATGACAAAGAAATGAAGGCCAACTGACTCTCTTCGGGAAAGATTAAGCCAAGAATGTGGTTTTTCCAAATCCTGAACTAAGTATCTATCTGCTGACTGTACCATACAGTGGTGGGGTACCACTGAGTCGGTTCTGACTCATAACGACCCTGTGTAGGGTTTCCAGGGTTGTAAATCTTTACAGAAGCAGAAAGCCTCATCTTTCTCCCAGAGAGCAATTGATAGATTCAAACTACTGATTCTGCAGTTAACAGCCCAGCTGGTAATGTACTATGCTACAAGGGCCCCTTGCACGATACAGGAATACTATTTAAAAACAAAACAGAAAAGCTGCAGGTTTGGGTAGGCAATCAATCCAGCTGCAGAAGTCAGGCAGAATCCGGTAAGAACAGGACTCTGAGGAAAGGGTCTTCTCCTGGGTAGTGTTGCTGGCTGTCCTCAGGTCAGCCCCAACTCATCCCTTGCACAAGGGAACACAATAGTTTTTTGGAAATAGATGACCAGGACTTTCTTCATACTGTGTCTTAGTCTGAAAGCTCTACTGAAACCTGTTCTGTATCAGAGTAACACATAAGCCCCCAATGGTGGGTGTGCTATGAAGTGCACAAATCCACAGAAAGACTTAGTTTCCTCCTGGTGAAATACACACCTCCCAGAGACCGAACAAGGTTCAGTAATGTGACAGAAAACATCTCAAACAGTGATGGCGCTGACAAGCTATCTCCTTCTAAGATGCACACAACACAGATGAATGTGGGGAGATTTTCACTAAACTGAATCTGATTTCCCAAACCTGTGGGAAAATTATACAAGAATAATATAAAAGAAGCACTGGTGTGGCAACATAGGATAAACACTCAACCTCAAGATAGGCTGTGAACCGCTCCTCGGAAATCCTATTCAGGGCCACTATGAGTCGGAACCGACTCCACAGCACTTAACAAGAAGTCCCATGTGGCAAACCAGAAGCAAAATGGCAGCCTATGCCTATGTGTTATTGGTCTTGGCTTTGCAAACTCACTTAGAAGATCATTTTAAGATCCCTCTGTATTCCCATTAGTTGCCTACTTTATGTCGCCATGCTCCATACCCTCATGTAACTTCCTCTCTGTTCAAGAGCCAATACCACACACTCAGAACAACCCAGCTGCTATTAGCTTCATTTGGCTTAGGACCTCACCCCACAAGCAACAAGCAGTGGTTTGATTCTAATCAATCTTGGTCTGCCTGTGTGGTGGCATCATAATATTCTTTACCAGTGACCACCAAGTCAAGTCTAATGGGTGATCTTTCAGAAGGAGACTGGCAAGCCTTTCTTTCCAGGCATCTTAGGGTGGGCTCGAATTTGCAACCCTTTTGTCAACAGCCAAGCGTGTGTATGTGCACCACCCTGGGCTTCACACTGTTCACTGAGGAGAAATGTTTTAGAAGGCTTTGGATCCTACGAAACGGATCCTACCATCCACAGTTCTGTATTTGACAATAACAAATGTC